GAAGAGATGATTCTCCGGCTGCTTTCACTTCTGCTTCTGCTTTGGCTCAAGGAATCAATCAGCACTACATAAAGCCTTTCGTTCTGGTTAACGTGAGTATCCTGAGATTACTTGAAGGTTTTTTGTTTGCTCTGAACGATTTCACATTTGGGCACCATTTACTCGATTTTATGCAAGATTTTGAAATGTATTGCAAGCTACATGTTTAAAAACTCTTTAAATGTTTCAGAACATGTTGCGTTGCAAGTTCTGTGCCCATCAGACGTGTACTCATACGATGATGCGAGATCATTTGCAATCTAACCATGTCTTGGTCTGTCGAGCCTGCGGAAATGGATTTGCGCATCGGGAGAGTTTGACCCGACATGGAAAACTGGGACGATGCTCGATGCAGTTTAAAGGTAATAAGTGTGCTTGATTTTGCTTTTATAATTGTGAGGTACTTATTTTCTTCTTTACATCCTGAGTATTCCATAGATGTGTCTGTGAAACAAATTTCTGCTGACTGTGGAGTATGCTATAAGAGAATGTCACTTGCCAATGCATACCTTCATTTGTTCCGAGAGCATTTGAATGCGGTCTTGTATGGCACAGTATCTGGGCAGGTTAGTGCTTTGTGCGCCTGAAAATGTTTTTAAGATAAAGATTATCACTTGCAGGTGTATCCAGAGCATCTCAATCTTCACGTTGATCAAAGTTTGGCAGAAGTTCTACCTGTAAAGGAAGTGGCTCCAATCACGCCCTTGCCTACACCTGGTGAACATGGCGAACGAAGAAATCGCGAAGTGGTCGTGTACAAAGTGCCACCGAATGTAAGTTGGATTCGTCGCTATCGGTGCTTTTTCGCAGTGTTGCAACTATTTCGCAAGTTTTCCAGGCAGAATGCACATGTTATCTGTGTGGGATGCAAATGGCTAATGCAGATCAACTCAATAAACACCTCAGCAGGCATCCGGAGAAGTGGACCAAATGTCCATTCTGCATTGGTAAGCTTATGATAATTTTAATGAAATTCGAGATCACATCTTCAACGGTTGGAGTCCTCAGCCGCTTCATTTCGGCTTCGCGTCGTCTTCACAAGCTTAATTTCTGGACATTTTCTCATTCTGGGCAGCGATTGAATCTGGCGGGTGTGCGAAAATGCCCAAAGATCACGTTCGTGAACTACTTGGTAGCCGGAAGCGGTTATGAGGGTCCGAGCCTTAGCTGTTACGCTGTTTCTGAGACAACCTAAAATTTCGAGAAAATTTACTTTTAGCCGTCTAACCCAAGATACCGTAGTTGTTAGAGCCAGAGATTCCTAGAAATCTTATAGTTTTCTCTCTCTTTCTCTGCCTGTTTATTTATCTGATTATTTGTCTCTTCAGATTACACTCCTATCGCTGACCATGAGGCAATGAGAGTGCATCTTACACAACGGCACATGGATAAAAAAGATGGCAATTTGGTGGGTATTTTTTTCACTGGACGCTAAAAATTTTATTTTAGAGAAGATTTCTCATGAAATTTTCGTATAAATCAAGTTTGCCTATATTATCTGTGCTTTTAGTGTTGTCGTTATTGCCAGCGAATCATAGCTGGTGAGAGTTGTGCACATCTCCTCTATATGTGTACACAAACTCGAAAATGTGCGTTGTGTTATGGAAATCAAGTCATGAAAAATTCTGCTGAGATGACTGTACACTGGACAAATAAACACTTGGACATTTTGAGGAGGTAATTATTGATTTTCAAAGGGGTTTCTTTTTCCTACAACTATTCATCCGATTTAGATTCCAATGCTCTGATTGCGGTATGACGTTCTGTCATGTAAAAGATTTCTGGGGTCATCAGTGTCGTTCACACTTTATGCAACAGAAATGTAGCTGTGGATTCTCAGTGGTGAGTTAGCGCTTTGATCTCTTGTGAGTATTCTCAAATGAAGTTTTTAGACTTTTTCTTCCCGAACTGCATTTTTACTGCATTTTGGTATGCATATCGATGAGGCAAATATGACATGTAAATTGTGCAAGTTTAAATTTTCCTCGAAGGTTGCGCTGCAGGTGAGCATATGCAGTTTTTTCTTTGTATGAATAATGTTGTTATTTCCTAGAATCATCGGCTTTCGCATGCTATAATGGTCAATAGTGCAACTGGAAGACAGCTGATAATTTTGGATCAAAAACTTGCTCAAGCAGAGGTAAGTGGCTATGCAAAATTATGGATTTTTGCTTTTAGGATTGTGACTATAACTATGCGTAAAGAATAGGTCTCTCTAGTTTAAATTTCTTTTTCTGTCTGGAAGTGCCTTTTTTCCTACTTGGATTATCCTCTTTTGTGGAGTTAGAATATATGACTTTGTACTAATTGATGCCATCTGCCTCGCTTGGTTCAAATAAGGTTGCACATATTTTCAGCTGCAGCAACAACAGCAGCAACAGCAACAGCAGCAACAACAACAACAACAACAGGAAGCGAGGAAACCGAGGCGAACTGCTAAAGAACTCGATGCTTTGATTGAGGAGAAACGATGTGAGTTTTAGCTTTGTCTTATGAGTAACATTTTATATATGGGTGTGTCGAATTTCAGTCACCGCCGATATCACCATAACATTGCGTTCCATCGTTCGCCAAGTATGCGAATCTCTTGGCGAAGACTATAATGCGCAGAAGGACTCACCATCGCCGTCTGATGTGCTTGTAGCTAACAACGATGACGATATAATAGAATTAGGTCAGTCAACTTGGACAGATATTCATTCCACGCTTCGGTATAACATTTATGAAAGAAATCTTTGCTTGCAGACAGCCCTGGTGTGGATGATGATTTGGTCGACAGTGCTGAGGCAAGTGCCCATCGAGCATCTCTTATGGCCCAAGTTCGAGTGGAAGTCGCAGATAATGTTGGGAATGTGGGATCGTCGATGCCTGGCTATATTGAGGACGACGACGAGAGCGCAGTGGAATGCCTTCCTGAGGTGAGCTGACGGTTACATAGACAGTCTCTACAACTTTGAATGCACTGGGCCTGGCATACCTCACGCAATTCCATCGTCTCGCGACTCTCATAATTAGATAACTGTTACAAGATTGCATATCGATCATGATGCATTTCGGCTGTGATAGTTTTTCGAATCGACTAATCGCGAATAACTTTCACAACCGAAATGCGAGATCATCGGCATGCAGTGGACTCGTAGTAGTTGTCTTGGTGGGAGAATCGCGAGGCGATGAAATTGCGTAATGTACGCCCGGCCGTGGACTTTTCTTCTCGGTCTTCTTTTTCGCGTCCTTTGCCATTTTTGCTTTTTTAGACATATGAATTCAAAAATGTGGGTTTCTTCTCATTTCAGAACGTGAAAGCTGAGTACGCGTCGGCAGTTGTTAAAGAAGTTCATGACGACAACAACGACGACGAATTACAAGTTATCGGCGAAGTCGAACAGTGAGCTTTTGATGCTTTGAACTTTTGTAAAAAAGGCTCGGCTACAGCCCTATATGCATGGTTTCTAGCGCTCCTGGTGTTACGTCATCAGCTGTGGTCACCCGCGAAAAGAAGTATAAATGCTCGCGATGCAGTTCTATGTTTATCACTGCTCATGCAGCCAAACTGCATGAGGAGACGTCACATAGCACTGATGCGGGTGGTATATGTGAGAAGGTTAGTCTAGCATCTCTTAGTTAGGGTATGGAAAGTCATAATCACATTTTAGGTCTTCGGCATTCCTTTGAAGGGTTTCTTTTTCGTATGCAGGAATTGCTGCGCTGCATTTGAAAGTCAGCAACAATTCAAAAATCATCGGGTAAGGTTTTTTTT